GAAGATAAAAAAGGCAAATGAGAGGTGTACCTAAATCCTAAACATTAGGCCTCCTTTTATAGGTTGAAATTCCCATTCAAAATTGTCATCCACCGATGTGGGACTTTTGACAATTTCAACACTTGCAAGTCTCATTTTCATCCAACATCAACTATGGTACTACATAGAAAATTAGCAGTACATAACTTAACCTTAAATGAAGGCTAAACAAAAATTTGAGTGTACAATGATTACTGTGCTACAACACTGACAAGTTTGTTTCATTTTGTTTGTCATTTCCTTTCCTTTTCTGGTTATGCACACAACAAAGAATTATTGGTGTTAGCACTATAAAGTAGGTGTTGAGAAAAATTAAAAATCTCAATATTCTGAGATACAAGGACCAGGTTCAATACTATATTCTTGGCCATAAGCATTCCTACAATAAGCAGTGACTTCCCTTCCTGGTGTCGCTGTTCCTGGTGTCGCTGATGTTAGTTGTATTAGTTGCATTGTTATATCAGTACATGGCACTGACATACTGCAGTTCAGATTTATGGCGATATTTGTGCTCGATGTTCCAAATATATTCTGGTAAATAACATTGCTGATTTGCACTCCAGTTACCTATCATGAAAAGGGTAATGAATATTTATTACCTTACTCAGTGTTATACTATACACCAAACCAAGAAATTTAACCTTAGCATAAAAAAGTGTGAAAGGCCATTGTCGTGCATTCATTGGTTTGGTGTGAACATCAGGTGCAAACAAGTTTCTATTAAGCTGAATATGTATTTTTAGCAATGTTAATTTGTATTACCATTTCCTTGCAAGCTCCTCGAACATCGCAGTAATTCTGGTCAATTATAATGGGGTTCTTGACTGAGTTAAATTCAAGATTCTCAAATATAACATCTCGTACATATCCTCTGCCAACCTATTCACAAGAAGTTAATAGTAAGCGGCGGGTGGATTTCATATACTATGGGATCAATTGAAACCATTATTTTCGAAATGGGGCATAGAGATATACTGAAAAACTACTAAAAGTTCAACAAATACTAAATTATGAACCCGTAATCTCAAAAGTACATATGAGTATGAAGCTAAGAACCTTGAACATTGAGTCCATTGAGTTTAAATCTTGAATCTGCCTTTCGTTTTGATTAGTCTGTTTAGTAAGAGTAAATTCATGTTTGAAGTTTCAGTAGTGTTGTACCGTTTTATGTTCAGTTTTTTCAATGGCTAAGTCTGCTATGGATACCTGCCATGTCTTGATACGAGCTCCATTTGTAGTTCCATAGAAGAAAGCATTGCTCACATGAATGTTTTCTACTTGAGCAAAATTACCACCTTTTCCTAAGCTTCCAATACTAAATACAAGCACAGTATAAAGATTCATCAGTATTAGGAAGTTAAAATCTGTTTACTTGGCAAGTTATACTTACCTATTTAATCTAAATAAACATGACATACTGAACTCCTCTTATCTAAAGATTTAGAAGATAACAACTGCTATAACTGCTGAAGATTCTATTGTCTTTAGCTTTCAATAAGATTCATTTACCATAAGAAAGGAGTTAATCTAGCATTCTAGAGCATGTTAGCTGAGTTCGATTTTGAGCTAACTGAAGTCTTTGAGCCAAAATCCTAATGGAATTATTACAATATAGTCAAAGTTTTATCCCATAAATGAACTTCTCTCCTTTTTAACTTCCAAAGATCACTTCTTTTATTCAAGCCAACTTAAACTTAGGTACTCTTATAGTCTTTTGCCGCCTTTTTTTCATCATAGTATAGTTTATTGTTATTAGAATATTAGAACTTCATGACAAAAGGATGTGGTGGAATGGTTGGGATCCCTCCGCCCTTAATCAGGGGCTTGGACTCGAGCCCCAAGAATGGAGAATTTCTTGGTAGGGAGTACTTAACTCCCTTAGTTGGCCTATCCTGCGGATATCTGGATTAGTCAGGCCAGTGGGTTGCAGAAACTGGATAGTTAAAACGAATAAAAAGAAAGATCATAACATGGTTTTTGTGGCTGCAAGGGGATAAAAATACTGTTGATTTTTAAGCTACTACAAAGCACTGATGAGGAGACAACCTTATACCATGACCTGGTCCACATTGGATATTGTATATTTGGACATTAGAAGTGTAATCTCCAATTGAAATGCAATCATCCCCTATTAATCACAAAGCTAAAACTAAGTCAATACATGAGAAATAATTAAAGTATAACACACAATATTTGACAAGTTAAGAATACCACTGCTTATTTTAGAATTGGTAATGGCCACATATTGAGAAGACTGAATGTGAATTCCATCAGTATTTGGACTATTTCCTGGAGATTCAATCATTACACTATCCACTTTGAATCCATTGCATCTCTCTATAAGTATATGAGTTTGGGCACTGTTGCCAAAGTAAATGTTACTAATAGAACTCTGACTGCAAAAAATGAACTTCAAGGCCTGTGGAATATTAACAAATTAGTAAGAAGTGAAGATATAAGTAGTCTTGCTACTTTTCAACAATTTTCTTTACCTTCTATTTAAATCATGGCCTACTTGAACTTATAAACATACTTAGCATGTTTGGTATAACAGAAGTCATTTTCGAGGAAAATATTTTTTTTATGAGGAAGTACTTACAGTAGGAGCTAATCTTGTACATCCTTCCTGAAAAGTAAAGAATAAATAAAAGTTAATCCATGTCGAAGTTAAGAATCATTAATAAAAGCAATAGTGGAAATAGAACTAACGATAGTTCGGAAACAAAAAACTTGTAAGTGATTTTGATATGATCCAGAATAATAGTGAATTGATTTCTTTTAGTTGTTTCATTCCAGTTGTCAAGTTAGTTAGGAGTTAGTTGACACACGTGAGAGGCACGTGCACAGTGCCCTTTAGTAAGGGATTGTAAATGCATTGACAATTGATTCTTATCAATAACATCTTCACTTTCTCTCTCTCTAAACTCAGAACTCAACTCGACTATCTTGGGAAGTCTGTTAAAGAGCAATTCTGTGACTTTGCTCTTTAGGATTCTCATTTCTTCTTCTATTTTTCTTTAGTTGCTATCATTGGTATCAGAGCCACTCACCACCTCTGTGCCCACCAAGCCTTGGATGGTGATGCTGGTATTGCATATTCACCTGAGGCTAGAAATGTCTAGCGCACAGCCGTTGAGGACGACGGATCCGGAGCGTGGTGGTTTGTTATGGTCTATTGCAAGGAATGGAACTTGAGTCCCTCATCGGTACTACAAAGTGCTTATGTAGGGTTTATATAGCCTTGGGCTCTCCCACCTCAATAGCTAGCTTTTGGGGTGTGGTTCTCTCTATGTTGTATCAGATTTCTATCCATCTAGCGTTGGTGCATAAAAACTTATTCGTGAAACACTGTTATCGATAAAAGAATGTTAGCTTATCTGGTATCCTGTGACATACCATGTCAGGGTGGTATCTACATGATTGATCCCACCATCCTTGTCCTTGCCCATCAATGGTTCCTGAGCCATCGACAATTAGACCGCTAACATTTCTAAACGCCAGCCACTGACTCGCATCCTGCCCGGTCCATATACCAGGTGAGCTTGGTGCAACAAGTCTACCTGATATCTACAGAAGAGTCATAAAGATTCACACATTTCACTGTAAGTTTGAGTTCTGCAAATAGCTAGAATTTAACTTATATACACTGACAATGTAAAGAATTTTTACACAATCAGATTACATAAAAAACAATAACTACAAATAACTGCCAAAATAAGTGGAACTAGTTACTAAAAACTAGGGCATACAACCTCCTACAACAAGCTAAATTATGCAAATGATGTTTAAAATTAATCGTTTGCGTATATAACTTAAAATCTATTTGTATAATTTAAATAGTAAGTTATATGCCTAATATTTTCAGGTATCCAGTTGATTATTATGTGCAGTTACATGTAGTTATCTTTTAAGTGAGCTGATAATATAAAAGAAATTCTACATCATGTATACATTGTGTATGTAGAGAAGTTAAATTCTTCTGAATATTAAAGAGTAATTTATGTTTTTCATACCACAAAATAGATGTTTTCAGAATTGCAGGGACCTCTGAATGTGACAGGACTAAGTAAAAATATCATATTTGGAGGAATAATCACTTCAGGAGATCCACCAGCTGATGAACATGCATCATTCCAAGCATTAAGAAATGCCTGAAAAAGAAAACAATTCTTTAATTCTTGATTTCAAGAGCAAAAAAGAACATACTCCTATTTGATATTTAGTGGAAAATAAAGGAAGAACAAAAATATAATAAGACTTACTTGAGAATCATCTGTAATACCATCAGCAGCAGCTCCATAATCCAGGACATTAAAACTTCCTGCATATCCAATTATACTTGCATAGGATATTCTTGAATTTGTCAAGCCAAGAATGAACAAGAGAACCAAAGTTTTCTACAAAGAAAAAAAATGAAGATCAAGAAAGTAAAAATTAAATTAATTTGGCAATGTATATATAACTAGTTAAACAGCTCAAGAAAAACAAATATATAAGAATTATTGTCATATTAATTAATCTAAATGGTTATTTAATAAAAGAGATATAAAAATGAAAAAAATATATAGGAGGAATAATGAGCTTCAAGATTCAAGAATCCTTACCATGGTATATGAAGAGTTAGAGGAACACATTGAAAACTGATGATAATTATCTGTGCCATAACCAAACAATTAATATCACGAGTTATTGAAAAGAAAGGGAAAAAAAATATCAGATTGCATTTCTCAAAATTGTAGTAATGCATACAATCTTGGAAAGCTAAGCAGCTTTTTTAGCCTACTACTTCATTAAATACTTCGAAAATTTAAAGTCGTATTAGGACGCACATTTTCAAAAAAAAAAATTGAAATGAAAAAGAAGAAAAGATTATTTAAAAGGAATTATAACACAAATAGCCCGTCAGATTCCCTATTTATTTTTTTTGGCCGGCATACATAGATTATACATGCATGATTATATACGGTTATACACATATTATATATGAATTAAACATAGAGGCGGAGTCGGGATTTAGAATTTATGATTTTGAGATTTTAAAGGTGCTTTAAATTAATAATTTATACATATTTAATGAATTTCTTAAGACAAATATGTTGTTTGTACCAAAACTATTTGGTTCGGCAGAAACTGTAGGTTGTACTCTTCCTCCGACCCCGATTTACATATATTATATATATCCGCCGGCTATTTTTAGTTTAAGTGGTTGGATAGATAACTATTTAGATTAATACTTCTGTTTCAAAATTCCAAAAAAAAATAAAAAAATAGTTAAGATATATATAAAACTTACAAGTTCAAATGTAGTAGGATATGATCTTGAATGAAGATGTGATTTCTTTGTGTAGAGCTGTAGAAGTAGGAGAGTCTTATAAATGAGGTTTTTGCCATTGTGGGAAAAGATTGAAAAGAAAGCAACATAACCCAGGTTTACAAATTTGGAACAGTTTAAGATAAGAATATATGTCAGATTTGGAGTACAAATTAAGTTTGATTCATAAGAAGAACAGTTGGAGAATTTGCCAATCCAAGCATGCAAAGCCGACACTTTATTTATTGTTTATGTTATCATAAGAGAGAAAGAATATTTATTAGTTGAAAGAATATGCATCACCATTTCTACTATTTTAGTTTGATATTTTTCGCATTATGTGGCGATTATATGGAAGTGAACTAACATAACTAAAGTTTGAGATTTAAATTAAGGATTACAAGAAAAATGATGACTAAAATGGTCTATCTCTAAGAATTAATGCCAGTGATTTTATTAGTTTACTTTTCCATGATAAGGTGACAATAACAATTATGTCTCAATCTCAAGTTAATTGAGGTCGGCAGTATAAATACTCAATATTATAAATACTTCATTTGGATACATTTTCATGACAAAAGTAGAAAGCTTTCCCACTATTATATTAGTATTTAAAAGTACTTTATTTGAATATTAGTATTAGTTTTTAGAATGGCTTGAACTTATATGCCAAGCAATTGTTGCTTCAAAGGCTTAAAAAGCTTACCCACTACTATATTATTTTATTAAACTCCTTTTACCCCCTTTCTAATTTCGTCATATTTTAATACTCTCTAGCGAAACAAAAAGAATTTAATACTCATAACTTTCCTTTTTTGGTCTTGTCTCCACGTGATTGATCCATGACGAGTTTTAAAACGAAGAATTAATCCGTTCGTCCAACCATTTAAATTAAAAATAATTGATAATAATATATATATATATATTATACTTATATATTATATGTGTATAATTGTATATAATAAATATGTAATATACGTATATAACTAAAAAAATAAATAATGAATATGACCCGCCAATTTGTGTAAAGATCCCTTTCAAAATTTCTGGATTAATTGGACTACCGGCCCAAATAGCCTTGAGAGAGGTCAGTCTTGGTCCAGTGTACTTTTATCCAAGTTCTCAAAATTTGTGAAAATTTTAGAAATAGCGTGAAAATTTGTTATAGTTTAAAAAGCAATTGAAATCTAACCATTTTTAAAGTAAAAATAAAATCTGAACAAAAATATCCTTAAAATTCAGAAATATTTTAACATAATATGCTGAAATCTGATATTTATTTTATTTATTAGTTTCAGCATAATGCGTTAGAATTAATAATGTGTTAGAATTCTAATATAAATAGCGTAAAAATTTGTTATAGTTTAAAAAGCAATTGAAATATAACCATTTTTAATGTAAAAATAAAATCTGAACAAAAATACCCTTAAAATTCAGAAATATTTCAACATAATATGCTGAAATCTGATATTTTTTTTACTTATTAGTTTCAGCATAATGCGTTATAATTAATAATGTGTTGGAGTTCTAATATAATATGTTGAAAGTTTATGCACATGCGTTCTATAATCCAGCATATTATGCTGAAATTTTCCGTATTTCAGTTATGATATTTTTGTCTTAGCTTTTATCTCCGCCGTAATAGTGGTTACTTTAAATAAATATACAAATACCGACTAATTTTCAATAATCATCCATAAAAATGGTTATGTCATGCCATTTTTACTCAAAATTCTAGTTCTAAGTCCTAAACATGCCATTGCCAATATAGTAACAATAACATTAAATTTTTTGAAAAATTAGCAGCCGGAACCTAATCACAAAAGAGATTAGAAGTAGATTATGGTATTAGCTCTTTTTTTTAAAATACTATAAAAGTTGTTAAACATATAATTATACTTTAGATTTCTAAAATTTACATTTAACTAAATATTTAACATTTGTCCAATTATTTAAAAAGTAGTCACATTAAATATATTTTACCTCCTCTTGTTCTACATTGTTCAAAGTTCAATTTCACTCCCAGCAAAAAAATACACTTCACATCAAGATCCAATCTTTACACTTCAAAACTTGTTTTGAAAATTTTTCAACAATTTCTTCACAAAATATCAATGGCAAATTCTTGGAGAAGAAACCAACAAATCAAGATCTTCACACCCAAAAATCTCCTGCTCTTCATCTCTACTTCACTTCTCCTTCTCGTTTTCCTTTACCTCACATCACAAACTCAACAACCCCAAAATCCACAAAAAACCGTAAAATCCCTTAAAAATCCAATCTTTAATAACCCTTTAATAAAACCCTTTGATTGTTACAATTCACCACAAGCTTACCCTGTAATAGCTAGTATAGTTGAAGGTGTTAAATACCCATTTCTTTTTTCACTTTCAGATTTTGGGAATTTACCAGAAAAACCCCATAAGAATATTCAAAGGGTACTTAAAGGGAAACCATTTAGGAAGCCTGATATATCTGGGACTGTACAGGAATTATTGGAAAAGATGAAGGGTAAAAAGGGTATTTTTGTTGATGTTGGAGCTAATGTAGGAATGGCTAGTTTTGCTGCTGCTGTTATGGGGTTTAAAGTTTTGGCCTTTGAACCTGTTTTTGAAAATTTGCAGAAGATTTGTGAAGGTGTTTATTTTAATAGAGTTGGTGAGTTAGTTGAAGTTTATGAAGCTGCTGCCTCAGATCATATCGGGAATATTACCTTTCACAAGGTATTTTTATAATTTAATTTGGTTTATATGAGTATTTAGGATTTTGTTAATTGTATTGTTTTATATAATATTGGTCTGACATGAGTTTAAATAGAGCACCATGGTAAGTGAGGATTCATATAGCCGATCAACTTGTTTGAGACTGAGGCGTAGTTGTTGTTTTTTGGTAAGAGGGGAAACCCGCAGCCGCTACGACCTTCGGGTGAGCACTCTGGTTTACCCAGGGCGTCGTTGTTGTTATTGTTTGTTGTTGTATAGTTTCCTTAATTATTAGCTAAGTCATGTATTATTGGATTAATCGTATATCACTTGTATTTTATTTTTTATTTTGGTAATGATGATGATGCGAGTTGAGCTTAAATAAAGAAAGAGGATCATATCGTTGACCCCAACTTGTTTGGAACTGAGGCATAGTTCTTGTTCTTGTTCTTGTTCTTGTTTTTGGTTTTTTCTTTTAGCAGTGTTATTGTATCTAGCTTGATTATTGATGTAAAATTTGATAATGTAACTAATTTTGCTAAATAGCATTTGTGTACCTCGGACATAATGGAGTTAAAGAACTGAGCTTTACCATCTACATTGACCGATTGACTGGTCTGAATTGATTCGATTATGAAATCATGAATAGTCACTCTCTGATTGTATTTCTTTTATCATGTGGAGCTATGCGAGATAAAAATCTGAATGCACAATTTTGAATGAGAGAATTAAATGATAGTTGATCTTAGCCAAATGGCCGAGAAAGGTATGAGAGAACTAAATGACACTCTCATTCGATTTTCATTTAGGGAGCTGGTTGATGATTCTCAATGTCTTCCTTTTTGGGATTATGATGATTTGAAGATGTACTATTGAAAAGTGAAACTTAGAGCTCACGAGTACTACCACTCTTTTATATGATGTTTAACCTCGTATTTCCTCTGCTTGAGAAATTCAGACTCTTCTTCAGTTATATCCCTGGTACCAGAGCTCGATATTAGATTTTTGTTGTCTCTAGCCAACTTATATAGACCATGACTGCGTTTATCCATCTCTTCTGTTGGAAGACCTATCTTAATTATATTAGCATGCAACTACTCCTTTTTCGTCATTATATGGAATTGCACCTTCAAAACTTGGGCAAGATCGTAACCCAGTCTAGATTGCTATATTGCTGGTAGCACATACTCTCTTAATGACACGGTGGTTCGGGTTTAAACTTCTATAGTTTCTACCCAAACAATAAAAAACAATGCTACTATTAGGTTTTGTAGTTGTTATTGACCTTTTAACATCTAAAAAGGAAAAAGGAAAAAGAAAAAGAAAAAGAAACAAGAGGGGACTGCCTATTGTTCAGCATTAATTATTATGCTATTTGTTATTTTGTTAGCTACCCTACTGAAAGTTTTGCTTTTCATGTATTTGTTTTTTAGTTGGTTGGTAGGCTCGACAATAGTGCAGTCTCAGCCACGGGTGCCAAGTTGGCTTTTAAGTCAAATGAAGAGATTGAAGTTCAAGTAAAAACTATTCCTCTTGACGAAGTTGTCCAAGAAGAGCCTGTTCTGCTGCTAAAGATAGATGTTCAAGGCTGGGAATATCATGTACTTAAGGGAGCGTCAAAATTATTATCGAGGAAGAAAGGCGAAGCACCTTACCTAATCTATGAGGAAGATGAGCGTTTGTTACAAGCCAGCAATAGCAGCGCCAAAGAAATCCGAGAGTTTCTCCACAGTGTGGGCTATAACCATTGCACTCAACACGGTACAGATGCGCACTGCACAAAAACAAATTGACAAAGTTACTCATTTTACAAACAATCTTCCGCTACAACTCTTGAAAAGTTCTGATACATCGATTTTAACGACCAACTATCATATTTTTTGGTACGATAAGTTTAGAATGGTTGGAGGACCGAGGACCTGACACGCCATTTGTTCAAAGTTGAACTCTACTTTTTTCAGGTTTTGTGAATTGGCAACCTGATTTAGACCATGTTGAGAGGATTGTAACAAAACCAACTTTTGCCGGTAGGTTTGTGGTTGGATAAACAGATAGGAGAAGAGAAGGTAGGAATATAGTGGCAGGATGTTTTCTCACACTTTTTGCTTGGTTACCCAATATGTAATGTGTGCACAGGCTCTTTATAATACTTTTCTTGTAGAGGTTGTTGCTTTGATCTGTGTCTTTTGCTCCTTTTTTCTCTCTGTTTACTTTGGTGAACATGTTGATCATTAAGTACAACTAACTACAATTCTTTTTAATGACTTCAATATAGTGTATGAATGATGTCATGCTTTGACATACCCCCCCCCCCCCCCCCCCTCTTTCTTTTACCCTTTCTGTTTATATTGTCTTCTTTGAAACTGTGTGAGTGATGCAAGTGTGTTGGTCAACACATTAATGGCCCTGAAAAAAGGTTGATTAGTGGTGTTTAATGATAAACCTTCATTAATAGCATTTTTTCTAGGTTAGTACTTCTGTGTTTAATGAGGTCAAATTAGTTGTTAGGTGGAGTTCTCTTAAACACTTATTCCTCTTAACCATCTGCTTTATGGCATTAAAGATAGCTTAACTTTTCTATTGTGAGTGGCTGTTTTCACATTGAGCTACATTCAGTCTGTAAAAGAGGAGGAAAGAGAAGTGTGATTGAGGCTCTAATTGCTGAACTCCACTGCTCTATAAAGCCTTAATTATTTTTTAATTTAGCAGCTCATTGGCTCCAGCATAGACACTTATGGCAGCAAACTATGACAAATGTTCTATCTCGTTATAAAGCACAGAGAAAATTACAGCATCTGGGAAATCGAGGCGGTTCTGTTAGAAGGTAAGAACATGCATCCTCTCCTCATTATTAAGAACACACATACTTAGCCAGGGAATAGATTTATATAGCAGTAATATAGTGTAAAGCCAGGTATGGAATATACAAGTTTCAAGGTAAAACTCTCCATTGAAACAATTTGAGCTAGCTATGAAACTCAACAATACTCCAGGTAACCATTCCCAGAATCTTTTGATACAGTAGTTCAAGTGCTATAAAGCGCCTCAGTAACCCTTTTTTTTTGGGAGGGTGGGGGTTAACAAAGAGATACTTATAATATCGCAATGCAACAATTGCTTTCTTTTCATCTTTCCTTGAGCTGAGGATATATAGGGAACAACCTCTCAACCTTCAAGGTAGGGGTAAGGTTTGTATATGCACTACCCTCCCCAGACCCCACTTGTGGGATTATGCTGGGTTTTTTTGTTGCTGTACAATGCAACAACTGGTGTAAGTTAACGCTGTAAGCACATACTAGTAGGGAGAGCACCAACACAAAAAATAGACCTAAATCTGTACTTCGATGGGAGGGGAATTTGAAACCTCATGGTCTCAGACTCTCAGCAGGTCCATCTTGACTTGGTAGTTGGTAACTACCTGGTCAAGGCTTCATTAGCAGCAATGTTTAACAGAAAATTGTAAAGCTGATATTAAAGCATGTTCAATATGATTTCAAAGAGTGCAACTTGAAGCACTGAATTGACCGTCAAATGATAGCATGTTGCTCATGTTACTGTGTCCAATTTAGTGCGCTGGTCCTGGAATTCAGTTTCAAGCTAGTTGACTTCTGGCCTCTGAATGTAACCTGCAGTGCTTTCAATTTCCAACAATGATGCCTCAACATTTAACTCTTGCCACTTTCTCCTAGCCATTTCCATTGATGACTGATATTTAGCAGTTGAGCTTAGCATATTATGCTGGTTTTTTGCTGCCACCTCATATTACTTGTGGCTTTAGTAATTTCTGAAGATGCACTTTTGTCCTATAAATTTGAGATGCCAGCGGTTTCCCGTTTCCAGGTCAGCTTGTGCAGCTCGACTATTTCATGTGATACCTGCTACTTTCTAGTAACAACACATGTATCTGATAACTCTGACCACCAGGTATTAGACACAGGGAAAGAAATCGCCTTCATTGACTACTAGGCCACAACCCTTGGGTGGTTATTCTCCTTAATATATATATTATATAATCTTGAAAACTTTTATTACAATTCCATCTACAGAGCTAAAGTAAAGAACATATCGGAAAAGAAAACATATACTTACGCCATTAAGGAAGATGAAATGAGCACTGCTTCAGCTTGTGGTTTTTCACATTTTGAAAAACATGAAAGACAATGTACATTGATAAATTACATGGAAATAAATGTTATAAGTGAGGTTTATATCAATAATTGAGCTCAACTTTCTGAGCTTCATACCTTTGCTACAATGTCTGCTCTTAGATAATTGCTTGTCTTGTGATTTTGAAGGACCTCATTTCTCCACCATAACTTCATACAGTTGCTTCTAGTTCTATTTGCAACAAACAACCAGAAATACAACAATGATCTTCACAAGTAAGTGTTGGAGTTTTTACTTGTGACCCAAAAAAGACAATCTCCAAATTCCAACCACGGTTAAATACTTACAAAAATTACTAGGGAAAAGTGCACTTGTTTCAGGTTTTGTCTGCATTTCTCTTTAAAATAAACCAGAAAACTGAATTTTTTTAGCCTCCATAGCTCACAAATGATGAGTATCTGTTAGATCAGCACTGAAAAAGCGAATTGGCGAACCTGACATGGAGCAAGGTTTGACTTTTACTAACTCCTATTCCCTCTATTATAATTTATATGACGTAATTTGATTTGATACGAGGAAAAAAAATATTTTTAAAACTTTTAGTCTTAAAAATTTAAAAAGTAAAAGTTTTATGAGATCATAACATTTATGTGTTATAAAAGATTCTTATTACGAGTAAAATAAAAAAATAAAAATTTAAAAATTAAATTATTTTCAAATATTGAACGAACCTATAAAAAGAGATTACATGTAAAAGAATTATTATACTATCACGTCTCCAAAATACAAATATAGATAATTGTACATAAAAAGTGATATTACTAACTTGAAAAATTATCCCAGTCACGTGTTACAACATATTTGAAAATACATTAATAGTGAAAATTTTCTTTATACAACTAATACATATAAGTTAAATCCAACACTTCCTCCATCCCATTTTAAGTATCGTTTAAGGTTTTAGCTTGTCCATTAAGAAAACATTAAGCATAAGAATAAATTTACAAAATTACCCTTATTTATTTCTTATTCCCTCTCACTTTATCATTCCTATTAATTGGAAAGAAAGTATTATTAATCACTTTCAACCTCTTTAATAAAAAGAGTAACATTGAATAAGATAATTATGTCTTGGACTCATGATTTTCTAAAAGCTAAAATGATACGTAAAATGAGAGAGTCCATTATTCAATTGGTCATTCAACTATTCGTAATTACTTAGTAAAATCTTTTTTTTTGGGTAACAAAAGCCACTTAACTTTTTCTATAGTACTCAAAAAGTCACTCGGCTAGATTTCTCGAACTTTTAATGATCAAATATCCATTTTACCCTCTAAATTATCAACCTTTATCTTTTTTAATACTTTTTAATATTATATTTTTTTCTCTTGTATTTTTATATTATTGAATTTTTTTTGGGGATAAAACGACATGAAAAATGGGTTGGTAGATATTTTATTGCTTATTTGCCTGCTGGAGAGAAAGGTTATGTTAGTCATTTTTCTTTTAAATTTTAGATCAACAAAGAGACCAAAAAGGAGTGAGCCTTATCTAGTAACCTGCGGCTGCATGTAGTTTTCGTTACTACCAACAACATTTAATTAGAAACTTCTTCAGTTTAGAAATAACTAAATTCTATTGTCTTAATGGCAAATTCTCTATGTTTCACACCTATAACTTCCTTGAACTCTGTCAATAAACCAGGTACATAAATTGCAGTTCTTGTTTTTCTTGTACTTTTTATGTTTTTTTTTGTTTAATAGATAGTTATATTCTATTGTTTTCGTACCCTTTTTTTTGGGTTAATTCTACGTATATTTACTGAATTTTACCCTCTGTAACTGTCTAGTCACAAAATTATAATGTGTCATATTAAAGAAGCAGAATTTTATTGTTATAGTGAGTAAATTTTAGTTATTTTAAAGTGATAAAAAGTATTGTGACTAAACAGTTATAAATGGGTAAAGTTAATTGTTATAGTGGTAAAAGTGTAGTTACTTTACCCTCTATAAAAGTCTAGTCACAAAACTATATTTTGACACATTAAAAAGGTTGAACTTTATTGTTATAATAAGTAAAGTTTAGTTACTAAAATCATTACTAGTAATTATAAGCTTTCATAAAGGTGTATCATTAATCTCTAGATCGAGATATAAATTCCATCAACTAACTATTATTTCACATGTATATTGTTATAGTCTAATTTACCGGGCATCTCATCTTTTAATAAATTAAAATAATAAATAATGCACACAATTAATAATAATCATAGCAAAATTAAGAGCATAAGTACATTTAATGGCTAGAGAATTTATTTTATTAAGTCAATATAAAATACTTGTCTCTGGTTGGTTTGTTCAAAAGATACAAAATGTACTAGCACAAGAAGTCGAATTATACAATTCAAATAATCAAGATAAATTTTATTTAATCTTGTACTACAGTCATTCCGAGGCTTCTCTAATTCCATCATTAGATTGCGAACATAATCTTTATAACTAATAAGAACCGATACTTTAATCTTTCGTGTATAAGCTAAACTTTGTACACTAAATTATTTATTATATAAGTAAAGGACACATGCGAATACATGATCTATTTAAATCTTAATTAAAATTGAATAAATAATTATTTCATAATAAATATTATACCCAAATACATGTTTAATAGTATATATCCAAATAATCTCCACTTAGACTTTTAACCATGACAATTGTTAGGATATAATATATCTAAATGCATGGTTAATAGTATATACCCTAAAAATTTCTCATCTTTCAAATTAGCGACTGCCAAATTCTGTAGCTAAATAGAAATACCCGCCGCTAATCCTGTTTAGCTACAGATTATCAAAAAAGTACGTTAGCTACGAGCAATTTAGCGACGAAGTCCGTAGCTAATTCCATTTTTTTTTTGTAATGATCAAAAGTCTTCGCCAATAAGTTTTTTGTAAAAGATCTCATGACAGGTTATTTTCTGATGTAATTTCTGTCTAGTAATGCTTTGTCGTAACCAACTAGTTTAGTATTAAACTTTTCAGGGATAAATTTCAGTGTACATACGGAATTTTATCACTCTTTGTGTTTGTTTCTGAGTCTGCAACTTTCTATAGAACATTATATGTTTGGTCTAAATGATTCAATTTTTTTTGGAACCTTTTATGCAGTAATTAATGGGATTTTATATTCTTGTTAGGTCTAATTAATGGGAATTGCACTGGAAGAAAGATTCAATGGATCAAAGATGTTACCTACAGCTCCAAGAGTACCTTAAGAATTTTGGAAGTGAAGGTAAATTTTGGACTTCTATGCATAGATATTTGTGCATGTTGCAGTTAAATGTGCTCAATCAATATGCAATTCCTACATCTTTTTTTCACTTTTATGCCTAGCCTCTTAGGGCGAATGGGAGCCTTGGTAAAGTTGTTGTCACGTGATCAGGAGGTCACGGGTTCGAGCCGTGAAAACAGTCTCTGGCAAAAATGCAGGGTAAGACTGCGAACAATAGACCCTTGTAGTCCGGCCCTTCCAAAACTCCGCGTATAGCGGGAGCTCAGTGCATCGGGCTGCTCTCTTTTTTTGCCAAGTCACCGAGGGCAATTACAAATCTAGTATGTCTTTAGACATATATAACTCAATTGTGGAGGTTGTATGACAACTAGGTAGGTACAGAAAATGGCAGCCTGGTGCACTAAGCTTCCGTTATGCGCGGGGTTCGGGAAAGGACACAAATAGCTGACCAAATTCAATGTTTACTCTTCTCTAAAAAGGAAATATCATAAAACCGATATGTCATGTTTTGGGTGTTAACCACATATAATTTTCCAAGAAACCAATTTTCATTTTGATCTTATGTGTTGCGTAGCCAATTCAGTGATATCATCCCACATATAAAGTTAAAAAATGATTTGATCAAAAGTAATGAACAAAATCCAACTTAGATATTCATGTGCAGAGGCGGATTCAATGTATTACTATCGGGTTCATTTGAATCTAGTACTTTTGACGCAGAACATAAATTTATGTGTAAAAATCTATTAAAATTGCTATAAATTGTAGGTATGAACCCATAACTGTGAAAATACAATGAGTTCAATACTAAAAACTTTAAGTTGAACCCATATAACTTAAATCTTGAATCTGCTCGCAAAAAGACTTCCACCGTAACCATAGAGGCAAACTTTTTCCCGCATTGATAGTGATTAGCACTAGCTATATATAGCTACTTCAACATTAATGTAACATATAATTAATAACTAAACTCTATCTTTTTGTAATTATAACTTGTTGACTGAAAAAACAAAAGGAATCTTCTTTTCCTATGATTTTGGCCATTGATTTAGGAGTCCATGTGCGGAGCCTTACCTTGCATTTCTGGAAGATACTGATTCCGTGGCTTGAACCCGTGACCTCCTGGTCACACAGCGATAACTATGTAGGTACACTTAGGAAATTTTCTAGGATATTGCTGTATATATGAGATATGGCAGAGTGAACTTCATCTTTGAAGCTCACTGCTTTTCTAAGTATTATGCCATCTATTGTTGGGGAAAATATTCCCTATGGTATGCTTGCCAAATGCCTGAAACTATAACTATGTTTTTAATTTCTGTTGTGAAAGTGACTGCAATTGGTACCACAAATTTCAGGTGAATGATTATAGCAAATACAGTAGATAGATGAGGAGTGAAGACTTTGGAACTTAGAAGGGGGAAAATCACAAAAGTTAATAACTAATCAAGTAAAACTTGTTTGATGATAATTTGGAGATAGTCTTGACTTGAGAATGGAGAGGAAGCTTTTAAGAAGTTTATGTGCTCAAAGTCTTGTCTATCAGAAATAGCCTTTCTACCTTCAAGGTAGGGGTAATGTCTGCGTACACACTACCCACACTACCCTCCCCAGACCCCACTTGTGAGATTATACTGGGTTTTATTGTTGTTGTATGTGCTCATAGTCTTGGCTCGAGTTTGGAGCAACAAATGTTTTTAAGAAGTTTTCTGTGCTCAAACTGGTCTGGTATTGAAAAGAATTGAGATAGATGATTACAGTGACACTACTTGGCTAGGAAAAACACCAAATAAACTTGTTTATGGGATTTGAATGCTGTATGGTGGCATCTGTATAATACCAATTCATCTCTCTATTTATGTGAAACAGGGTCAGGCGGCTTAATTTCGTTCCTGATGGGATCAGAAACTTTTTCTCGCTTTCTTTTTTCGTCTCTCATCTCATAGAATTTTTCTTTCACCTCTTTTTGTGATCTAACTATACCATCTTTCCTTCTATTTCCTCGAGTTGGTTATGTCGTGCCAGAGCTTTAACATTATTCTCTATTTTCCAGGCCACTGACAGCGACCAAGACGCAAAAGCAAGGAGCATCATCTGTAAAAATTGTGATGGAAATGGTAAGTGGATTGATGCATTTTTTTTGGATCTTGAATTCTCTCTCGTCAATAATGATAAGGTTCAGTGGACTTCTCTTGACGAACACTCTCATGCTGCTTTGAATTGCGACTATATTTCTTAATATTGTAATTAGGCACTTATTTTTACTGGATGTTAGTTGCATTATAGCAATGAAGATGATATCCAGTTAGCTCTAGATGCTAACTGTTGCATCAGGTTTCATGAATTATCGTGAGGGCAGCAGTATTTTCAAGAGGAAATTTTCTACTAGATTTTAGTGATAGAACTATTATATCTTGACAACAACAACATATAGGTCACGGATTCGAGCCGCAGAAGCAGCCACTAATGTTTGCCTCAGGGTAGGCTTTCTGCACCACACCCCTTGGAGTGCGGCCCTTCCCCGATCCTGCGTGAACGCGGGAAACCTGGTGCGCCGGGTTGCCCTTTATATTGGTTACAGAGATCTGAAATAATCCATTTCTACTTGGATTAAGTTCAGCATTTTTTGTTTCTTAGACGCTATAATGCTCTCAGGTGCAGTGTTGTGCTCACAGTGTAAAGGCATTGGTGTTAACTCTGAAGATTATTTCAGTGGGCGGTTCAAAGCTGGTGAACTATGTTGGCTGTGCGGGTAGTTGTACTATCACATGTGCTTTTGGTGATTATGAATTCGCATTGGTTTTCAATTCCTAAGCAAGTTGAGAAAAATGCTACAACACCGCCATCTCATTAATCATATCCTTCATGTTTGCATTTTTTTTTTGTTCAGAGGTAAAAAAGATATGTTATGTGGCGACTGCAATGGCGCTGGATTTCTTGGTGGATTTATGAGTACGTTCGATGAGTAGACTTCATATGCACTGGTCTCAGTATGAAACAATAGCTAGCTCTGAAACTCAAGACAGCACTAAGGAGATGATGCTGTGAAATATTTACAAGAACAGCTACATTACAGTTTGTGTAATGTGCTCGAAAAGTCAATCGTGGCCTTTGTACATACATCCTTGGGAGTCTGAATTAGAAACCTCATAGTCTCTGCACCCAGGGGCGAAGCTACATGTCTTAAAGGGTGGTTAACTGACCACCCTTCGTCGGAAAATTACACAGCGTATATAGGTAAAATATTAAGTTTTAGAGGTACATAACATATATTGATATATTGAACATTCTTTGTCGGAGAATTTTTTTCACTTCTTTTAAGTTTGAATACCCTTGAGGAAATTCCTGGCTTCGCCACTGTCTGCACCTCATCTTGACTTGGTAAGACCTGGTCAAGGCTTCATTGGCAGCAAATATAATAAAGCTGATATTAAAGCAGGTTCAAAATGATATCTCAGGGTGCAACTTCAAGCATTGAATTGATGATCACATGACAACATTCTGCTTATGTTATTGTGCCCAATTCAGAGAAGGTAGACATCTTCTCTTTATTCACTTACAGCCTCACCCTTTTCAACCCCTTTAAAGATGTTGGTTCTGGAATTCGAGTTCAAGGTAGTTTACTTCAGGCTTCTGGATATAACCTGCAGAATCTTCAATTTCCAACAATGATGCCTCAACATTGTACTCTTGCTACTTTCTCCTAGTTTACTAATTGTGGTGTCTGTGCTAGTTTGCATGTACTTCAATTAATTCACCAGGTATCTCATATCTTCCACTATCACAAATACTGAGTAATTATGCTAACTAAGGCTTTAATAAATGGGAACAACAACAACAACAAACTCAGTGTAATCCCACAAAGTGGAGTCTGGGGAGGATAGAGTGAAGCAGCCTTACCCCTACCTCAAGAAGGTAGAGAGTCTGTTTTGGATAGATCTCTGACACAAGTAAAGATGAAAAGGAACAGAAATAACAAGCAGTAACAACAACAAAATAATAAGATAATAACTGAAGCGAAAGAAATAACATATAGCGAATTAAAACTGCGAATAAGGAAAAACGGTTTACATAAATGGGAAGAGACTAATAATTGATACTTAGCAGTTGAGCTCAATTCATGATGGTTTTATGCATTGGCTCGACTAATTTTTGAAGAGGCACATTTGTCTCCTCAATTTCTTCTGGCTACTCATGCCTCAGAAATCACCCTTAATATGCAGATTAGCATATCATTTGAGATATCATAAACATGAAAGAGCATGTCCCGTGGCTTTGGTTTAGTGGTAAGTGTGTAACATGCAATGTGTGAGTTAGGGACACATTACGAGTTCAAATCCCACTGCAGAGCAAAAAGTATGATATTTAAGTAAAGTATTTACGAGTTCACACCCATTATCTATTAAGTTTTGAATCATGCCTCAGGTGGCCTTTGGAGTTTCTTGGTTGTCAAAAAGAAAAAATTAAACGTGTAAGAGAATGTATATTCGTAAATGACACTACAAGAAATCTTGTAACTAAGGTTTATATAGCAAACCTTACTTAGAACAATGTTGACTTCTACTAATTTCTAGGTGATTAAGGGTGTCAAATGTACACTAGCGCAACATTTAGGCAGGTTAAAATATATGAATTAATAAAAGGTCGGGTCATTAATATACTCAATGTTTGCTTGCGTCAAAATATGCGCGTCAATTGTGGGCTAAATATTGGGTCATAAACCATCCCGCCGAACTCAAAATCATTTTTAATTTATTTTTTCCTTTTATAATATTTAATTATCAAATCAAGCTAGTAAAAGCTTGTTATTTTTCTTTCTATATATGGAGGTAACTATAGGTCTGTGAATCACCAGAAAACTAAGCTACATTGCAATTCAGATGAGGCAAGGCATTTATAATCCTTTTACACATAACACTGGTTCTGGATCAGAATTCAGATCATGAAAAAGAATAACATAAATACAAGCATTACTTTAGTACAAAATGGACGTGACGAAAGGTCACAGAAAACTATGATCCATTAATATTCAGTTGCATCAAAGCATTTACTTGATAATCCTTAATACTAGGATATAACTAATTGAGAAGCGAAATTAAAATTTAAATTGTATGAGTTTAACTATTTAATATTATATTTTCGAAATTATAGGTTTAAAGTTTTGATATATTTATTGAAATTGTAGTGGACTTCTGCATATACATCTCGTTCCGTGTCAAAATATCGAGTTCAATTGAACAAACCTATAAAAAGAGGCTACATCCGTCTCTGAGCTAATGAGTGCTACTAAATGTTTAGAGTTTAACTTCTATAGAAAAATGATGTAAAAGAATTATTATACTGTTGTCTCTAAAATACAACTAGAGATAATCATGCATAAAAAGTGTATTAGTGACTTAAAGAATATCTCAGTCACTTGTTACAACATGATAGAAGGTATATAAAAAGATGCTGTCAAACTCGTATAGGGAAAAATATGACATGACATGTGGCCGCTTAAAGGAAGGACACGTGAAACACAAGATGGGGATGGCCACCGAACATAGCTATTCCGCTTGTCACCGGAAGAAATAACGATCATAAAAGGAGTATTAAATGCTTTGCGTCCGGTAACATTTAATACAGAATATTTTGTAGCATTAATGATGATGGCCCGTTACAAGGAATTTGACATTTATGTTTAACGTTACATCTTCATCAATGGCCCTTATAATTGACATTAAAAAAGGGCATGATCCTAAGCCTTCCTTCCCTAGACATAGCTATAAATAAAGAACTCAGTTATCATTTCACAAATTTTCTGGCTAACTTACACTATATTCTATACAGCATTTTAATACAATTTTATTTTCTCGCTTTTGATCTCATCATTGTTGTACCCGAAAATCCTGTTCCTGGACTCATCAGCTATGTCGTTCCATCTACATCTTAAGGCTAAGTATTTTATATTTCATCAGTTATTTCATTATCTTTTGGATTAAATTAATTCACTTGTCTAGAAACTACGAACAAATTCAACTGTATCATTTTACGGGTAAACACAACTATTGTCACATAAAATGAGACGGAGGAGGTAGTTTAAATAGAGGGGCAAAGAGGTTTGTGTTAGTTTCAGTAGCATTTTACAAATTTGGCCAAATTCGCCATAAAATTAGCAGTCCAATTATAATTTACCTGGTCTAAAGCAAACGATGCCTCATTAATGCTAGAATATACTCTACAGTTTACAGTTTGAGACAACAAATTATATTTATACTAGTAAATTCACTCGCGCTTTGCGCGATCACAAAAAATAAATAAATTATAAGAAAGTAATAGTAATGTCTTAAATTTTATAAAAGAAAAATCAATCTTTACTAAGAAAATATTCTTCCCGATTCTACGGTGTTATAGTATTACACTGTAAATGACATGTTATGATTGGTTAACACATATTAACAGAGAAAAATCTTCTATAATGTTATTCCTTAACCTCTCTTCTCTAAGCATTTGAAAGTGAAGTAATTAATTAATTACATCTGTTACATCAATGTCTGGAATTGTTAATGCTCTTGTCATTGTATTTTAGATTTGAGTATGTACTGATTAGAGCAAGTATGTGTGTCGATTTGACTATTCAACCATAGATGTCTTCTGTTTATGTAATTATACTTTTCCTCTAAGGTGAAACTTTATATCAAAGTAAGAACTTAAGTAACGAGGAAAAGAGGATATTTTTATGATTCTGCAAAAAAATAATTAAGGAGAAAATAAGAAACAAAACGTCCATCTTACCGTTCAAAAGTAATGTTGCTGATTGCCTTTCAAACACTAACCAATACAAGCATCTACGAAAATATATAAGACCAATAAACTCTTGAAATTTGATATTTTCTTAATCATTATACTCTTTCTTTTTACAAAAAAACACTTGCTGAATGGCAGAGAAATATACTCCATCCATTCTATTTTATGTGAACTCTTTTTTTTTAATCTGTTAAGAAAATGAAACTTTTGTTTATAGTAAAAAAAAAAATTTACTTTAAACTTCCTATTTATCCTTTTATAGCTATACGAAAATTATTTTTTCGGTATAAACATCTGGTATTCAAAAATCCTCGCTCGGAAAATTTTGGTACATATCTTGAAGGGAAAATCGCTCCGTATAAAAGATTTCTCTAGAAAAATCATTGCATATTTAAGATCCATGATTGTAAAAAAAATTCTTTTCTTGCTTAACTAAGCATAACTAAACAGGTTTAATTATATGAAAAGAAAGTTATTATGCACGGAAATATTATACATCACACTTTTAAAAAAGATTCTTAAACTCAATGCCTATACTGATTCATATAAAATAAAACCGAGGGAGTACATATTATACAACATAATGATGTCCATAACATTGGAAAATAACATATTAACATGTCTGTATCAATGTCAAGGAAAATACTACTTTGAGAAATTGTACAAACTTACAAAAGGTAGGAGGATTAGAACTATGATTTGTCTTGTAATAAAAGTAGTAAAAACGAAGCAGGAAAAAGCAAATAAAAGAAGATTAAGACAAATCTTACAACGAAAGTGAAAAATTCCCCAACCGCTGTAATTTCAATCTTCTCAATAGCTGCCTCGGCAGGAGCATCTCTTGAGTTCAGCAACAACCATAAAATCTGTCAATCTCTAAGCCTAACACAACATTCTCCACAAAAAACAAAATCTGCACTACTTAATAATCAAGTTTCTTCATGGACTCTAACCCACAAAAACCAAACAGAACAATATTACTCCTCTTTAATTAAAGGATATGGAGGAAGAAAGCGAAAAAAGGAACAGCTATGGCGGCAAAAGCACTCTCAATGGAATGCTTATTCATAGTCTTCGCCTCTTTCCCCATCTGAAGATTTTTTGAGGCTGACTTCTTGTACGAGTGAACGTTTCTTCGACGTTTATTTTTTTTGGGAATATGAGAAGGCTGTTTATGAAGTACTTTGTAAGTAAAGACGTTAAATAGGTTAATTAAGAGGGGATGCACATTATATTTGAGCAGTAATTTATGGAAAGTTAAAACACAAATGACTACTAACAATGGATGGGAAGAGGCGTGTTCTTTCAAAATGGCCAATGAACCATTTTTTTTAATAAGTTACTACTCAAAATGGACGGTAAAAAGAAAGAAAGTCNGAATGAGCCTTATCTAGTAAACCTGCGGCTGCATGTAGTTTTCGTTATAACCAACATTTTCCAGTACTTCAATTAGAAACTGCTTCACTTTTCCCAAGTTCACTTCTTATTTTCTTCTCAAAATTGTTTCTTTGACTAAATTCAGTAAAAAGCTAAATTCATTCTCTTAATGGCAAATTCTCTGTGTTTCACACCTTTAGCTTCATTCAACTCTGTCAATAAACCAGGTAAATTCCAGTTTCTATTTATTCTTATACTTTTTATGCCTTTTTGCTTAATGGGTAGTTTATATTCTATTGGTTTGTACCCATTTTGGGGTTAATTTCATTGTATATTCACTGAACTTTACCCTGTAGTCAAGAAACTATATTGTGTTACAGTAAAAAAAAAATGAACTTTATTGTTTTAATTGGTAAAGTTTAGTTACTTTAATGTGAAAAATATTATGACTAACTGTTATAAATGGGTAAAGTACAAAAATTGTTATAGTGGTTAAAGTTTAGTTAGTTTACCCTCTATATATAACACTTAGTCACAAAACTATATTTTGTCGCACTAAAAAAAGCTGAACTTTATTGTTATAGTAGTTAAAGTTTAGTTACTTTAACGTGACAAAAACAATTGTGACTGAACTGTTATAACGGATAAAATTGAGTAAGTATTGTAATGGTTAAAGTTCAGTTACTTCAATATAACCAAAAAAAATAAATATTTTTACTGTTATAGTGGATAATTTCTGAGCCGAGAGTCTATTGGAAACAGTCTCTCAAATCTCCACGAGGTAGGGGTAAGGCTGTGTACGCATTACCCTTCCCAAACCCCACTATGTGGGATTATAAAGTTCAGAGAATAACCGAAATTTTCGCTGTTCTTTGTGTTTGTTTGTGGGTCTGCAACTGTGTGTAGAATGCTGATATGTTAGGTTGTAAAGATTCAAATTTCATTTTTTGTGTAGTAATTGGGATTTTTATATTCTTGTCAGGTCTAAATCTGATTAATGGGAATTGCACTGGAGGAAAGATTCAATGGATCAAAGATGTTACCTACAGCTCCAAGAGTAACTTGAGAGTTGTGGAAGTGAAGGTAATTTTGGAGTTCTATGTATAGACAATCGTGCAAATTTGCAGTTAAATGTGCTCAAATGATATACAATGGCTACATTTTTTACTTTTATGCCTAAACACTAAGGTAAGATCCGTTACGTGGACTAAAGGGGGTTCATGGACTTATAGTCTTGACTTGAGAATGGAGAGGAAGCTTTTAACAAGTTTGTGCGCTCATAGTCTTGGCTTGAGACTGGAGCAATGAATGTTCTTAAGAAGTTTTTGTGCTCAAACTGATCCGGTATTGTGGTAACACTACTTGGCTAGGTAAACCGCCAAATAAACTTGTTCGTGGGAATTTGAAAACTATGTGGTCAGGGGCAGAGCTAGAAGCCCAGGTATGGGTTCGGTCGAACCCGGTAGCATTTGCTCAAACACTTATTTGTGTTAAGAAAGACGTTAAATATGTGCAAAATACTAAATTCAGAACCCTTAAAGTTGCCGTCGGTCTAAAATTCAGAATCCATAAAGTTGACATCTTGGCTCCGCCTCTGTTAATGTGGTGGCATCTGCATTATACCAATTATCTCTCTATTTATGTGAACGGCGTCAGGCTGCATAATTTCGTTCCTGATGGGATCAGTAGCCTTTTTCTCGCTTTCTTTTTTCATCTCTCATTTGTTAAGGTGAAACTCCTTGGCTTAATGCTAGCTGTAGTTCTATTGAAACTTCGGTTTTCTCCTAGAATGTTTCTTTCACCTCTTTTTGTGATATAACTATAAACCATCTTTGCTTCTATTTCCTTGAGTTGGCTGTATTATGCCAGAGCTTTGACATTATTCTCTATTTTCCAGGCCACTGACAGTGACAAAGACACGAAAGTAAGGAGCATTGTCTGTCAAAATTGTGATGGAAATGGTAAGTGGATTGCTGTAGACTTTCTTTTGCGTCATTGATGTTAAGGCTCAGTGAACTTCTCTTGACAAACACTCTCGTACTGTTTTTAGTCTCAAGTGACTAATATTGCTTAATACCGTAATTTTGCCTTTCTGTATATTCAATGTTTATCGAATTGTGGCAATGAAGATGATTGTAACAGAAGCAGTACTTTCGAGAGAAATTTTGTACTCGTAGATTTTACTAAGAGAGCCATTATATCTTTTACAATATAATGTTTGTCTTACCTCTGCATGAGATTTCGTTTCTTAAAACAATATTTGTTTCAAGTAGTAATTTGACTCTTGATGTTGAGTGCTCGATGGAAAAACACCTTTGTTACGAACTTCCCTCAAATTATTCATCGAAGTTTAATCTGAGAATTACAGCGTATCTGGATTCAAAAACTTTTTTGTTAATGCTTCAGCCTTACTGGTTCTTTGCCTTTTTCTTGCTTATACTCATTATTTGTACCCATGATTATTTCAGAAATATATATACATATTGGTCATATACACCTGAAATCATCCATTTCACTTGGATTTAGTTCAGCACTTTCTGTTTCTTATACGCCATATTGCTCTCAGGTGCAGTGTCGTGCTCACAATGCAAAGGCACAGGGGTTAACTCTGTAGATCATTTCAACGGGCGGTTCAAAGCTGGTGGACTATGTTGGTTGTGCAGGTACTTGTATTATCATTTATTCTTTTGGTGATTATGGTTTCTTGTTGTAATTTTGTTCTTAAGCAAGTCGATAAAAATGCGATTAATCATATCCTTCATGTTTGCACTTTTTTTACTTCAGAGGTAAAAAAGATGTGTTATGTGGTGACTGCAATGGTGCTGGATTTCTTGGTGGATTTATGAGTACGTTCGATGAGTAGACTTCATTTGCACTATTCTCGGGTAGGTTCAGAGGCAGATCCAGAATGTACACTTTGATGAGTTCAATCTTTAAATTTTTTGCATTGAACTCATTGTAACTTTGAGGTTATGAATTCAGAATTTAATATTTATTGAAATTTCAGTTATTTTTCACATATATATCGTGCTCCTTGTCAAACATACTGGATTTTAGTTCAATCCATAAAAGTTATGATCCATCCACCCCTAGGTTGTCAACATTGATCCCAAGAGAAGCAGAAAGAAGTATTTGATAAACAGATTGTATTATCATTTTCCTATTCCAGTTTCACATGTTCAAGATTTCTTGAGCTTTATATTCTGAGGCGGATCAAAGATTTGAACTTTATGGGTTCAACCTCTGATGTTCTTAGCATTGAACTTATTGTATTTTTAAAGTTTTGGGTTCATATATGCTAGTTTTTATAGTTTTGGTGGACTTTTACACTTAAATGTATGTTCCGCGTCAAAAGTAATGCGTTCAGTTGAACCCGACACTCCCATGATGCATTCGCCCATGTTTATATTGTAGAAGCTTATTTCTGAACTAAGTGAAAAAACTTATGCATTAAGAAATTATTGTTATATAACAAAGGACCTACATTTTGGCAAGCCTATTTGCTAATGCCAGCATTTTAAGCAAGTTAGTGATTTTACCAATCGTGTTCGGGCAATGAAGTTGAACTCTTAGTTGGAAAATATCTGGATAATTGGATATTACTAGCTAAAAAATAAAGATTTTTTATAGTGTTCAGAGAAAAGCTTTACCTACTGAATTGGGACTCTGAATTTTCACCTAAAGTATTTCTTTAACTAGGCGGTAAAAATCAGAAATAACCAGATTTACAAATGGTAATTGAAATATAGTCACAATTTTAAAAATAATCGAACTAGTTTTTTATATATGAGATTTCAACATAATGTACTTTTATTTTCATCAACAACATAATGTGTTGGAGCTTCATAATGTGCTAGAGTTCCAATATAATATGTTGACACATTATGCTGGAACGTTTCGCGTGCCGGCGTTCTAACATAAAATGCTGGAAGTTTTATACCCAGGAGGTTTATAATCTAGCATATTATGGTGGAACATTCCTTGTTTTGGCAAAATAATGATTATTTTTAATAACTTTAGAAACGTCGGCTATTTGTCAAGTATTAGTTTGAAAACTGACCATCCCGTGCTATTTTCACTTTTAACTCGAGTTATCCTTCATATTATTCACTTTTGTAGGCCTAGAAAATCTCTATTTTTGAAAGTCTATTTCAAGAAATATGTGGTGCAAAATATCTAAAAGAAATATAATACTCCTATACACCCCCCTCCC